GTAAGTCCTTGAGTGCAAGTCTTAAATTTAATAATTAGAGAGATTACAATTGAACAGAGATGGGAGAGAAAGTTTCGTAAAATAAATAAAGCAAATAAAGGTAAAAGTGGTTTGGGCTGCCTGTGAGGCTAGTTCTAGCAGTGATAAATGATAATATTAAGGGATTTGTGTATTATTGAAACGTTGTCTAAGATCCAAAAATACATTTAAGGAGGTATTTTTTATGCTCACTTAATCCTCATAGAATTACCATCAACGGATACTTGTTGCTCGAAGTAAAAGTCTTTTCTCGCCATAGCTTTGTTTTGCTTCCCTTTTCAAGGCATTTTGCTTTCCTTTCCAAGTTCAGTTCCCTCCATGCTCCCTCCAGAGATCCCCAATGACTTCAGATCTGCTACAGTTGTTTGGTAAATGGCAATAAAATAACCCAAAATACATTGCCCAAACCCTCAAGTGGCAGTACCAATACCAGTTCCCATTTTCCATGTCCCGGAGAACATTGTAAATTGTTGGCCGAAAATTTATTGGCAGCACTTATCAGATTCACTCATAAATCTGCTGAAAAAAGCCCCGTCGCCAAAATCCATGCACCCACTCTCGCCATCTCTCTCTCTCTCTCTTTGTTGCTCTTTCGTTCACACTCGCACTCGCGCTGGAAGGCAGGAAGGCCAATGGCCAAATGCGTGGGCGAACTGCTGTCTCTTTTTTGGATGGGTGGCATGTGCGAGACATTTATTTGCATGCTCTCTCTCTTTCGCTCTTCCTCTCTTCCACTCTGCTTGTGGTGCTCCATTTCGGTCGCACAATCCACAAATGAACATGACATTTTTACAAGCCCAAACATGTGTACACATGTGAGCCCCAAACCACTCGAACCGAACCACTCGAAATTAATAGCCAGCAAAGCAGCAGGCAAATGTAAGCTTATTCGATGACCATGCGGTCAGACAGGAGGGGGACAAACGGACAGCCAACACACGAACGTACAGTTATGGACGTGGCCGAAAAAGTCAAACATTTGAACGGTAAAACAGGTCCGAGAGTGAGAGGGAGAGAGGCAGAGAGAACAGGGGGGGCGAACAGGTTGGCATTTTATGCATCTATAAATTTAATTACTCAAAGGCTCAAAAATGTGCAAAACAAAAAGCCATTAGCCATGGCATCATCCTAGGACCCCTACCTAGGCTCATCCTACCATACCAGTGCTCCATGTGGACACCGGGAGATTGTTGTGGGTGGGTGCTGTGAATGTTCGATAATCTGGGCCAAGTGATGTGCATACTCGAACGACAATCAAGTTGCAGCAGGTCCCTTTCATTGGCAGCAGACGAGTCTATGAAGGCCCAATGAGTAGAGGGAAAATCATGACAAAACATTTGCCCAACGAGTTTTCATTTTCTTTGTTTCCTTGTCGTCTCGATTTTATTTTCTTGTTTTTTTGGTTTGGTTTTGGTTTCGGTTCGGTTTTGGGTTCCACTTGAATGAGAATGACGAGAGGATGTCATGACGATGATGAAGTTATCAGCAAAAACAAGCCAAAAGTTGGCACAGTTTCAAAAAGTTGGCCCACATTCAGAATAGAACAGAGCAGGACTCAGATAGAGAGAGTGCGACAGACACACAGGATCACAGGGGCCACTATCGGGCGCCTAACAATACAAAATGCAGTCGGCAAATTCTAAAACAAGGCAAAAACTTGGCTCATAGACAGACCGAAAGAGACATTTCTAAATAGAGGACTTTCGCCCTGTGTGTGGACCCACTGCAAATATTGGGGGTGGAGTGACAGTGCAACAACAATTGACAAATGCAACAAACGACAAGTTAAAACTCATGTTCATTGTGCTAACTTGCCACACGAAGCGGCGCAGGGAGAAGCCACATGAAGTAACGCAAGGAAGAGATAAATGTTACTAGTATGTAGATGCCACAAGTTTTCCTTTTTGTGAGGTTGCCAAACACAACATTTCTTGATGTCTAACAAAGTAATTAAAGGAGAGAGGGAGAGGCATGTCCAATTGCATAAATCAATTTGAATTAATATTCGGTAAGCTGAATTCGAGCTTGTGGAAATACACACAAATGACTCAAGAAAAGACATGAACCTAATTGATAGACCATTTTGAAACAGACACTAAAAGGAGCTTTGCATTTTGATGGGTTGGAAAAATACAAGTCAATATTAATTTGTATGGCAATTTACTGATACTGATTACTTGCAAAACTTAAATGATAAAATATCATACAGTTTCAAGTGTTTTCCGTTATCCAAATAATTAAATTCCCAGACAGCTTTTGGCATATTTTACCGGTCAAATAGCTGCAGATGGAAAGTGTTTTTGGCACCTCCGCCTGACTGATGGACAAAGGACAGCTGGAGTGACGCAGTGCATGAGTGAAGGCTTTCATTCGCTTTGCTCGTTGCCGGAATTGGACAATAATATGACGTATGCATAATAACAGAATAACTAAGAAATTGGTTCATATTGTAGAGAATGTTTCCAAAAATTTGGAGGCAGAGTGCAGGATGTTGCTGGCAGTGTGTTGGTGCAACCTTTCAAGCGTAAATTGCATATTTTGCAGAAAGTGTTCCCAAGGGAAAGGATTTACATATGGGTACGGTGGGGTTGGGTTAGGACATGGATGGTATGTCGGAATGCCATGAAATGGGACGAGACTGGACGTGGTATGGCGTATAAAAGGAATTAGGAATGCAATTTGAGGTTGTGTTGGCAATATGCACCAGTGGTGGGGGGGGGGGGGGG